ACATGAACGTAGATAAGTATGTTTATGGAGCAACGTGCAATGTGAACAGACTGACTGATGTTGTAGTGGCCAGGCTTAGGCTTGGTTACAAGTACTTCTGGCAGTTTGGGAGACACAGATGATGATCAAACTAAATGTAAATTATGTGATCAGGCATATGGTCACTCTCTTGAACACTATGTGCTTAATTGTCCACTTATTGAGGAATACAGACACATACAGTATAATAACCTATGTGACATGTCAAGATATCTTATTAATGAAAATAAGATACCAGATATACTAAGTAAATTTCCTAATTTTCCTTGTAACAGATAAGTGAACTATAGATATGTAGATATAAATCCATATGTATTCCTGTTAACCCTTTGGGCCTAGTTCCTAGGCCTTTTGTGTATCCATATGCTCTCGCGCTACCATCCACAGGATGGATATGGGGTGCACAATAAACTAGCCACTTTGGTGGCAAAATCTAATCTAAATCTAATCGTAAGTCGAGCAGGTCGTAAGTCGGATGGTAGGTGTATATATAATTATTCTCTATATAAAATATATAAAGTGAGGAAAAATACTAATAGATTATACAATATTACATAAAATATTTATGACTGAAATCATGAAATAACTATTAGGGTTCAAATTTTTAATATACAAACAAATAGCATTAATGTAACTTCCTTAAGATGTTCTACAATCTTAATGAAACAGCAAGTACAGTCTCAATATTTAGAAATTACAGCAAATGTAGTACAAAAAGTAACCCAGACAAAAGGATGCCAAGCAACTTGCTTATCAAGTAAAGACCAACTGCCTCATGTGCAGCACCATTTTATTCATATGGTCAACTTTTGTCAAGATAGATGACCGGATGAATTGGTTAACCTTAAAGTCACACTTAAGGTAGGGAAAGAACTGCCAGTACTACATACTGCAGTATTTAAAAATAGATCAGCCAACTAAATAAACCTTAAATAAACAACACCCAAACAAAAAGCAAAAATATATGTAGGTAATAGATGGTTTAGGCATTTTACTTATCAGGAAAAAGGATATAGTATGTTTCCTGACATTGGTCTTAGTCATATGATGACTAACTAGAGTTTCTGGCCACATGACTGAGGCTTGATGGTTTACTGGTCCACCACATCAAAAATTAAAGATCACATCAAATGCTGTGGATTGTGGTTACTTATAATGTTAAGGTTACTACAATGTTAATTCTTAAGAGTCACCACTTTCTACTTTATCCTAGGTAATAAAGTAGTGTACCAAGAAAACCCTAGATACCTATCATTTTGACCCTTAAACTGTCCAAACGTAGATCTACGTTCACTTGCGCAGCACTCTGAATATTTTGGGAAAAATAAATTTTTTTTTTTTTTTTTGTTTAAAATGAAGGGCGCATTTTTCCCAGCATCCCTGAATTTTGTCATACTGCACACACTGAGTGCACAAACCCACTCTCTCATGTTTAGGCAACTCAGGCCTATCGTGCCAAGGTTGAAATCATGTAAAATAAAACGTAGATCTACGTTCAGAGAGCTACGCACGTGAATGTAGCTCTACGTTTGGACAGTTTAAGGGTTAATAATTCATTGCAATTAAATCCAAAGAACTTTTGTTCTCTTTTTAGGTCACCCTGCCTCTGTGGAAGACAGCTGGTACATTAAGAAAAAACTTTAATCAAATCCAAAAATATTTTCAGGGGTTATTATTAGGGCACACGAAAGATATACTGCATGCCCTTTCTTTGAGTGATAACAAAAAAACGCACTTTTGAAAATATTAACAAAAATTCCTAGTGAATATTTCAAGTTCAACAGTCTCATTCTTTACCATATTTCATAAATGCAGGTACAGTGGAACCTTGGTATACGACCAGCTCCCTAATCGAACAAAGCTCAGCACTCCACAAAACAAATACGACCTGCCAGGATTTCGCTGTAAACTATTTCGCGTTTCTTCGCATTTTTTTTTTGTATTATTTGTATAAATTAGTCATCATGTGGCCTACGACGATTAGTGATAACAGCCAACCAAACAGAAAATTAGTTGGGAAGAACTTGTTCGATACTCAAACGGAGTGGCACTCGAACAGCCTTCTGGAATGAATTAAGGTCGTATACCTAGGTTCCACTGTACATGCAAATACTAAGAAATATGGATTGACCGAGGCTACAGGCATTCTGGATTTATAATACATCAAATCCATCCAACTGTAAAAATGCAAGGAAAAATTTTCAAGACAAAATAACCAAAATCAAATAAAAAATGGTATTGTATATGCCAAATTCTGACATTAATACTCATTGTCTTCAAGTACATGTACAGGAGGGCCCCAATTATACGGCTGGTTAGGTTCCAGGCTACCGCCGTAAAGCGGAAACCGCCGTAAAGTGGAACACCCTTTTTTTCCACTTACAAATGCATACAAACACTAGATAACAAGTTTACACTAACATATATTAAGTTAGCAATAGAACCAGGCATCAAAAAACAATAAGAAGTACAATACACACATAGTGCACTCATTACTTACCTTAAAATATTTATAGTCTTAATCTAGGGTGAGACAAGTAGTATTTATTGTAAGAAATCAAGTATGGTATGTATGGTAGTCAGCCAGGCTACCATACCAGGCCACCCCACCCACACATACAATTCTATGATATTTAAGCATCCCAAGCGATAAAATGTATATACAGTTCACTCATTACTTACCTTAAAATATAGGGCGAGATGAGTAGTATTTATTGTAAAAAATCAAGTGTGGTATGTATGGTAGTCAGCCGGGCTACCATACCAGGCCAACCCACCTACACATAATATTCTATTACATTTAAGCATCCCAGAGCGATAAAATGTATATACAGTTCACTCATTACTTACCTTAAAATATTTGTAGTCTTAATGTAGGGTCAGGAGTAAGTAAATGAGATAAAACGAATAAATGAGAGAGAGAAAGAATGAGTGCATGAGAGAGGACAGGCGCAGAGTTATGTAAACAAACCAGGCGAAGGTAAGTTTTGTAAACGAAGTGTACACGTCTGGTTTGTGTACAAGTTACATTGTGTACAGGTTGTCTCTACATTGATATGGTAGAATAAATAAAGAAGAACACTCCCATTCTCATGTAACATCATTTTGAGAAGAAATGATGCTCTGAGTGAAGGCAATGGAAATAAGTCACTCTGACTTTTTTGGGTTATCCTAGGTTCTCTACACATATGTTATGTATGATAATCTATGTAACTGTACACAAATAACCCGCACATAAAAGACAGAAGCTTACGACGACGTTTCGGTCCGTTTTCGTCGTAAGCTTCTGTCTTTTATGTGCGGGTTATTTGTGTATCGTTCCAGTCACGGTATTGTGCCTTTTTGTTATTTATTTATGTAACTGTATTTGTGTATACCTGAATAAACTTACTTACATACATACGAAAGGAATAATTTTCTACAGTTACCCCCAGTAACACATTTTCTCTTATGTTAGATTAGAGAAAATGTTATTCTTGGCATCACTTGTACAAGTTATCTGGCTATCACATCTCATATTTATGTTTATTTATTCTATTGTAGGGTGTATTTATCATCTTTTTATGTTATGTATCGTGTTTATTATATAATTTTGAAAAAATATCATGGATGGATTAATGAAAATGTGTATATTAACGTAATATACAACATTCAATGAGACTCGGTGATCATTATTATTATTATTAGCATTTCTAATATGGCGTCACTTGTGCAAGTCGTCTGCTACCACATCTCATATTTATGTTTATTTATTCTATTGTGGGGTGTATTTATCATCTTTTTATGTTATGTATCATGTTTATTATATAATTTTGAAAAAATATCATAGATGGATTAATGAAAATGTGTATTTAACGTAATATACAACATTTAAATGAGACTCGATGATTATTATTATCATTACTAATATGACGTCTGGAGACATAAGACACTCTTACTGATTTTAATGTGTACCTGCATGCCAGCACAGTATGTAAGTTTATTTAAGTACAGGTATACATAAGTATAATTATCAGAGTATATATAAAATATGAAATAACTTTTAAAAACATTTGAAATTTTGGAGTTTCCAGACAAAATGGAGACTTAGTGCTTACTGAGCTCACGAAGAATGTAAACAAACAAGGTGGGGCGCGGTGACCGTATTAGAAAGTCAGGTGGGGGGAGCCGTATAGCGAGTTTTGGTCATAATTTGAAATGACCGTATTAGCGGAACGCCGTAAAGTGAAACGCCGTAAAGCGGGGCCCTGCTGTATATCCATTGTACCACTCATTTTATCACACCCTAGCTAGTACTCTAATATCACCATGACTGTATTTACTAAACGAGTTATAAAATCAAATACAACCAGGTGTAGGAAAGGAAAATGCTCGCAAGTAGAATAATACAAAAATACTTGTAGATGAAAGACTAACAGCAATCCCTTATTAGACTGTTTCACTCAAAGGTGAGCATTTTTCAAGTTCCAACAGATGCTGCTGACTCAGGTAGCAACTAGCTGCTGGTGGCTAGGAAAAAAGATTTCTTGAAGCTGTACTTGCCTCCAACCTATGTAAACCTAGAGGGATTATTGCCAGGCAGCAGCCAATGGCCAAACTGCACTCCAAGCTGAACACAGATTATCAGAACCCTGAAACTAAATGACTGTCTCCTTCAAATAGCAAGACAAACTTTCCAATTCTCAGTGAAATCTGAGTCAGAAACTTTATTGCTTCAACTGTATGGGTACTTAAATTTTCCAAACTCACAACTTACCGGTATCACCGCACATTTTAAAAACACGAAGTATGAAAAGTAAAGTACAGTACTAGTATTAACAGTACTTTTAAAAACATACAACACAAAGTGATTATACAGTTCAGAACATTTCGGAAGAAAAAGACTCCACAAAGAATTTAAATAAAAAATAAAGTAATCAAATAATATAAGGCAAATAATGAACAAGAATTGCATAATTTACCTGTACAACCAAAGGCCACCACAGAAACTGAAAACAGTGTAATTTTGTACGAGATACTGGCCATGAAGGTATCAGGCCACCAGATTTCAAAAAAGCTAACAAAGATCAGCATCAACAGAGACACAACATAGCCTGCAAGAGATAATTGTATAATTAATAAACATTCCTCCTAAAACTGCAATAATTAAAAATATAATAATAATTAGACATAGGCTATGCTGAACGATAAAGGTTTTATCCCTTTGACTGCCGCGACCCCAAATCCTAGTGTGTGTCTGTCGAAAAAAAAAAATTTCTTATGAAATGATATAGAATCTTTCCCTGATGGTAATGACACCAAAAGTACAAAATTTGATGGAAAACTATGGAATTATGCTCTCACGAAGTTAGCAATCCTGACGATATATACGCATCAGCAATTTCACCCACTTTGAGCCCTGTTTTCAGCCAATTCCACTGTTCCAGTCGACGAAACTAATAGCTATTTCTTCAGAACTCCATTTGTTCCATTGAGTGAGCACAAGAAACCACCCATTTACCGATTTCAACTAGGCAATAAAGTGGTCAGAAATTGGCGATTTGGCCAATTTCACGCAAATTAAAAAAGATGTCAATTTCAAAATAGGGCCCAGAATAAACAATGCAGACATTCCTGGCACAAAAATAACATTTTCTCTGTTCATTAGTCATGTCTCCAGGCCCCTCTTATATTACTCTTGCTTTCTATTTTGAATTTCTATTCACACAAAAAACAGAAGATTTACTGTTATGCAAACTACTGCATTAATGTAATGATTGTATAAATAACATCAACCCATTCATGACTGCGTATCAGAATGGGTAGTTGGACAAGTATTGGACAGTGATGTCATTTGTTTACTCTTGAACATCGGCAAAAATTGAACATTTCTGCTACTTTGAGCTCAATTTCAAGATCTTTTTCATCGTGAAACCAATCAAGATCATCTCTATTTCTGTAAAATGTCTTCCATCACACGAGACCAAGAAAGCAAGAATACATGTACAACTAAATACTATATGAAAATACACCTCAAATTCAGCATTTTGATCCAAAAACACAGCTGGAGCTTTTTTCTTCTCATTATACACTGCGTGCTGCAGGATTTTTTTTTATACTGTGCACACTGACCACACAGACCCATTCTCTCACATGTGGGCCTACCAGCTTTCTCCCGCTTGATTTGAAGCCGCTAGAATTTTAGCGTATTAATAAACACGCTAGATAACAGGGATATCTTGCTACTCCTACTTACACCTTGGTCACACTTCACAGACACGCACATGCATATATATATATACATACATCTAGGTTTTTTCTCCTTTTTCTAAATAGCTCTTGTTCTTCTTTATTTCTTCTATTGTCCATGGGGAAGTGGAAAAGAATCTTTCCTCCGTAAGCCATGCGTGTCGTATGAGGCGACTAAAATGCCAGGAGCAATGGGCTAGTAACCCCTTCTCCTGTAGACATTTACTAAAAAAGAGAAGAAGAAAAACTTTATAAAACTGGGATGCTTGAATGTGCGTGGATGTAGTGCGGATGACAAGAAACAGATGATTGCTGATGTTATGAATGAAAAGAAGTTGGATGTCCTGGCCCTAAGCGAAACAAAGCTGAAGGGGGTAGGGGAGTTTCGGTGGGGAGAAATAAATGCATTAAATCTGGAGTATCTGAGAGTTAGAGCCAAGGAAGGGGTAGCAGTAATGTTGAAGGATCAGTTATGGAAGGAGAAAAGAGAATATGAATGTGTAAATTCAAGAATTATGTGGATTAAAGTAAAGGTTGGATGCGAAAAGTGGTCATAATAAGCGTGTATGCACCTGGAGAAGAGAGGAATGCAGAGGAGAGAGAGAGATTTTGGGAGATGTTAAGTGAATGTATAGGAGCCTTTGAACCAAGTGAGAGAGTAATTGTGGTAGGGGACCTGAATGCTAAAGTAGGAGAAACTTTTAGAGAGGGTGTGGTAGGTAAGTTTGGGGTGCCAGGTGTAAATGATAATGGGAGCCCTTTGATTGAACTTGTATAGAAAGGGGTTTAGTTATAGGTAATACATATTTTAAGAAAAAGAGGATAAATAAGTATACAAGACATGATGTAGGGCGAAATGACAGTAGTTTGTTGGATTATGTATTGGTAGATAAAAGACTGTTGAGTAGACTTCAGGATGTACATGTTTATAGAGGGGCCACAGATATATCAGATCACTTTCTAGTTGTAGCTACACTGAGAGTAAAAGGTAGATGGGATACAAGGAGAATAGAAGCATCAGGGAAGAGAGAGGTGAAGGTTTATAAACTAAAAGAGGAGGCAGTTAGGGTAAGATATAAACAGCTATTGGAGGATAGATGGGCTAATGAGAGCATAGGCAAATGGGTTGAAGAGGTATGGGGTAGGTTTAAAAATGTAGTGTTAGAGTGTTCAGCAGAAGTTTGTGGTTACAGGAAAGTGGGTGCGGGAGGGAAGAGGAGCGATTGGTGGAATAATGATGTAAAGAGAGTAGTAAGGGAAGTTTTTACAAAGTAGAAATGATGCAAGGAGGGAAGAGTATATGGAGAAAAAGAGAGAGGTTAAGAGTGGTGAAGCAATGTAAAAAGAGAGCAAATGAGAGAGTGGGTGAGATGTTATCAACAAATTTTGTTGAAAATAAGAAAAAGTTTTGGAGTGAGATTAACAAGTTAAGGAAGCCTAGAGAACAAATGGATTTGTGAGTAAAAAATAGGAGAGGAGAGTTATTAAATGGAGAGTTAGAGGTATTGGGAAGATGGAGGGAATATTTTGAGGAATTGTTAAATGTTGATGAAGATAGGGAAGCTGTGATTTCGTGTATAGGGCAAGGAGGAATAACATCTTGTAGGAGTGAGGAAGAGCCAGTTGTGAGTGTGGGGGAAGTTCATGAGGCAGTAGGTAAAATGAAAGGGGGTAAGGCAGCCGGGATTGATGGGATAAAGATAGAAATGTTAAAAGCAGGTGGGGATATAGTTTTGGAGTGGTTGGTGCAATTATTTAATAAATGTATGGAAGATGGTAAGGTACCTAGGGATTGGCAGAGAGCATGCATAGTTCCTTTGTATAAAGGCAAAGGGGACAAAAGAGAGTGCAAAAATTATAGGGGGATAAGTCTGTTGAGTATACCTGGTAAAGTGTATGGTAGAGTTATTATTGAAAGAATTAAGAGTAAGACGGAGAATAGGATAGCAGATGAACAAGGAGGCTTTAGGAAAGGTAGGGGGGTGTGTGAACCAGGTGTTTACAGTGAAACATATAAGTGAACAGTATTTAGATAAGGCTAAAGAGGTCTTTGTGCATTTATGGATTTGGAAAAGGCGTATGACAGGGTGGATAGGGGGGCAATGTGGCAGATGTTGCAGGTGTATGGTGTAGGAGGTAGGTTACTGAAAGCAGTGAAGAGTTTTTACGAGGATAGTGAGGCTCAAGTTAGAGTATGTAGGAAAGAGGGAAATTATTTCCCAGTAAAAGTAGGCCTTAGACAAGGATGTGTGATGTCACCGTGGTTGTTTAATATATTTATAGATCGGGTTGTAAGAGAAGTAAATGCGAGGGTCTTGGCAAGAGGCGTGGAGTTAAAAGATAAAGAATCACACAAAGTGGGAGTTGTCACAGTTGCTCTTTGCTGATGACACTGTGCTCTTGGGAGATTCTGAAGAGAAGTTGCAGAGATTGGTGGATGAATTTGGTAGGGTGTGCAAAAGAAGAAAACTAAAGGTGAATACAGGAAAGAGTAAGGTTATGAGGATAACAAAAAGATTAGGTGATGAAAGATTGGATATCAGAATGGAGGGAGAGAGTATGGAGGAGGTGAATGTATTCAGATATTTGGGAGTGGACGTGTCAGGGGATGGGTCTATGAAAGATGAGGTGAATCATAGAATTGATGAGGGGAAAAGGGTGAGTGGTGCACTTAGGAGTCTGTGGAGACAAAGAACTTTGTCCTTGGAGGCAAAGAGGGGAATGTATGAGAGTATAGTTTTACCAACGCTCTTATATGGGTGTGAAGCATGGGTGATGAATGTTGCAGCGAGGAGAAGGCTGGAGGCAGTGGAGATGTCATGTCTGAGGGCAATGTGTGGTGTGAATATAATGCAGAGAATTCGTAGTTTGGAAGTTAGGAGGAGGGTGGGATTACCAAAACTGTTGTCCAGAGGCTGAGGAAGGGTTGTTGAGGTGGTTCGGACATGTAGAGAGAATGGAGCGAAACAGAGTGACTTCAAGAGTGTATCAGTCTGTAGTGGAAGGAAGGCGGGGTAGGGGTCGGCCTAGGAAAGGTTGGAGGGAGGGGGTAAAGGAGGTTTTGTGTGCGAGGGGCTTGGACTTCCAGCAGGCATGCGTGAGCGTGTTTGATAGGAGTGAATGGAGACATATGGTTTTTAATACTTGACGTGCTGTTGGAGTGTGAGCAAAGTAACATTTATGAAGGGGCTCAGGGAAACCGGCAGGCCGGACTCGAGTCCTGGAGATGGGAAGTACAGTGCCTGCACTCTGAAGGAGGGGTGTAAATGTTGCAGTTTAAAAACTGTAGTGTAAAGCACCCTTCTGGCAAGACAGTGATGGAGTGAATGATGGTGAAAGTTTTTCTTTTTCGGGCCACCCTGCCTTGGTGGGAATCGGCCAGTGTGATAATAAAAAAAAAATAAAAATAATACACATGTACATACGTCTTACGAGTCAGTGTTTTTGATGTATGTATATATACGACAGAAACAGTCAAAGGGTTAACTGTGGGAATCAACAATAATTTACAGCCAATGTTCAAGAGATGATTAATGTGTTTTTGTCTCTCGTTCACTTTCCCTGCCTTGGGAGATATGGCTGATGATGAAAAGTTAAAAATGTTTTTCTTCAATTTATAAAGCTGTAGTTTTAGTAAAAATTAAACGTGTGCATACACTTAAACCCCAGAAAAAATAAAAAGAAGAGCACAAAAGGAACAGGGATACAAATGTGTAAGTGCATTATTGTAAGTTATAAATTTACCCTTCAAGAAAAGTGCCTTGATGCTGGTGAAGTGCTCTTGATCCAAAGACTTGGAACAGCCCTCCCCTTCCTTGAGCTAACCCTGATAACATTGACCCGTTCTATTCCCCAGGCATTATATGACTTACGGGTTTAGAACTTCATGATTATAATAATAGACCAAAAATAATAACCAATAATAATAGTACCAGTAATAACAATAATAATAAATGATATAAATGACTGGAAAATCTATTTGAGCACTAACTTTGACCAGAGACAAAGAAAATGGAGTAGCTTACCAAATATAATTCTTACGTTGAGAGGCACCAGTTCCACCAGCAAGTTGTTGACAAGTACAGCACCAAACGCAACAAAGATGTACACGATTGAAATATCAAACACAATTGTTGTCCCAGGATAACGTTCTTTAAAATAATCAACAGCAATGGTGAAACTGAAAATAAGGCAATAATAAATGGATACCATTATTTAAAGAAATATACTGTCAATACTGTATATTAAAGCACCTGTCTTCTTATATGTACATACTTAACACCAGATCATCAAGTAAATTTTTTTAAAGGATTTGATATCACTTAGGCAATGTGTGTTACACTTAAATCTCACTCACTTTTACTGTCTCACACTCAGTGCTGCTTTACATGTAATTAATAATACCTGTTGTATGGCAGAAGGAAGCCAACACCAGCTAATACCAAGGCAAAATAGATCAGGTTCCAGGGGTCTTCTGGGGGAGACATGTGGCGTCCTGGGCCGTCATGCTCATCGTCATCGTCATCTTCCAGTCCAAAGCTGCAATTTGCACCACAAAGACTTACATGTATTGTAATTTTTTTGTGAAAAAAAGGACTCTCATAGTCATCAGCATAAGAGACCTTTAATGGGGTACCTTGATGCTATTAAAGGGTTACAGGTCCAGTGTAAATAACAGTCCCCTTCTTTGGATCAAGCCTGATTACTTCCCATTTCCCAAGCGCTGGTTTAATGAAAGGTGGTGTTGAGTCACTAAAAAACAAAAAATTGCATCCAATGTAGAAAGTGTGCCAATTGAGACTTACCAGATTCAAACAAACCATAAATGAATTTACAGTATCCACATAAGGAGGAAGAAAACTTTTAAAACAAATACAGTGGAACCTCAGTTGTCAACTGCACTGTTGAACAAACAGTTTTCAAACAAAGAATTCAAGAAAAAAAAATCCTTTCGTATGTTCTCTTGGGTGTCGACCAACAACACAAATACCTCAGGTCATGTGCTCACAGATTGCGCACTGGACAATGAGTCAACAGCATGGGTCTGAGTCAGTATAGCCACTAACTCATGTGCTGTAAACATCTCTTGAGCTTTTGTTGTGCATCTTTAATTTTTTGTTATTTTGCATTTTTGGTGCATTTTTTTTTTATTATGAGATAAGCCATCAAGGGTCCACTTTGTGGCAGCCAGGAATTTTGAAGGCTTTGAAGATGAGCCTGAGCTGGTAAAGGATATTGTGTCACTGGGAAAGACCTTCGACCTAGAGGTGACTGAAAATGTTGTGGGGGAGTTGGTGGAGGAGCATAGAACTGAACTCACCACAGAACTTGTAGACCTTCGGAAGGAGCAGCAATAGATTGCAGCAGAGGAGCTATCATCAGAGGAAGAGGAGGGAAGGAATGATGTGTCCAATGCATTTGTCAAGGAAATGTGTGCTAAATGGCGTGAAGTCGAGGAGTTTGCTGAAAAATACTATCCAGACAAACCAGTGGCCATCAGTGTCTCTAACATGTACAATGACAGTGTAATGTCTCAATTTAGACAAGTGAAACAAACCTCACTGGACAGATTTTAGTGAGACAAAGAACCAGTGAGCCAGAACAAGGTGTTAGTGGAAAAGAGAGACAAAGAAGAGAAACACCACCAGAAGCACAGTTGAACGACATTAATAGCAGGTGACTCTCCTTCCAAGCAGTAACATACCCCCTCCTCTCCTCCACCTGCTTCCAGTATGCCATTGGCTCTCCTCTGACAGGTAAGAGGTACGTAGTTAAATTTTCATTTACTGTACACTATTTCAGATAAAATTTCTTATAGTATTCCTTTTTATAGTTTTGTGTAGTAGTTAGTACATTTTTAATAAACTATTATATTGTCATTTGGGATCTGGAACAGATTAATTCTATTTACAGTATTCTTCATGGGAAAAAATGCTTTGGTTGTTGTCCATTTTGGCTGTCGAATCAGCACCTGGAACAAATTATGTTTGACAACCAAGGTTCCACTGTAGTAAATGGGACTAAGACATTAAAGATGTAGGTAGGTTGAAGGTAGCCATAAAGGGATGAACTACCATCCTGTCATTTAAGTGCAAAGCAGAAACCAGTTAAACATTTAACACATTTGGCAAGATTACTTATCTTTCTGTCCCATGAATATGTTAAATAACAGGTAAATTTACAAAGTATTACATATATTCAATATACACTTATTTTTACTTCCCTATGTTTCATAACTCAGTAGTTCTTAGAAATGTAATATTTCCAATTAAGGAGCTATGGGGCAGCAATCTCCAGAACCATTAACAGATCCAAGTTTATAAGAAGTAAGCTCCATGTTTACCTGGAGAGGGTTTCGGGGGACAATGCCTGTGGCTTGGTCTGAGACCAGGCATCATTATGCAAGACAAAATACAGTGGATCCCCGACTTACGAACAGCTCCCAACTCGAACAATTATGTAAGTGTATTTTTGTAAGTGCTTCTGTAAGTGTATTTTTGGGGTCTGAAACGGACTAATCTAATTTACAATATTCCTCATGGGAGCAAATTCGTTCGGTAACGGCACCCAAACAGCCTTCTGGAACGAATTAATATCGTACTGCACAACAGAATCAGGCTCACAAAATCCACCAAATTATAGGTAGAAATATGCAGGATAATAAATAGAAAGTTTAGTGTGTTTACAGAAAAGGACACTTTACATGAAGTAGATTTGAACCCCCAAGAAGCAACTGAAATATAATATAATGAAATATCCAGAGTCAAAGAAAACAAGCTACTTCTTGATATCCATAAGAAAAAAACAAGTAATAGAACCAGACGACAAAACATCATGAGTTTTACATGAATGCACTAGGATTAACATGTCAAATACTGAAAAATGAAACAGGTAAGAGAAATTTGTAAAGTTTAACCTCAATCAGGGACCCCTCCTAAGGAGCTATGAATGTGTGTAGATATTAGAAAATTAACTCTAATTTCTTAAAGATTTTATTTCAAGAAGGTAAATTCAGTCATGAAAAACCTGCTATGAAACAATGAAATCTGAAAGCAGCAAAATCCTGCACCTATTGAAATTTTCTATGAACTCACTGTGGAACGGCTCATAAATACTACTTAAGTTTCTTTACAGTACATATAGAAAAAAACAATAAAAACTGAACTTTGTATATATCAAGGGTTTATTACACAGTACAGTGGACCCCTAGTTAACGATATTTTTTCACTCCATAAGTATGTTCAGGTGCCAGTACTGACCGAATTTATTCCCATACGGAATATTGTGAAGTAGATTAGTCCATTTCAGACCCCCAAACATACACATACAAACGTACTTACATAAATACACTTACATAATTGGTCGCATTCGGAGGTAATCGTTATGCGGGGGTCCACTGTACTGTAGTAATATGGTACACAGTTATAATAAGACTTTTTAACTCCAACTGACAAAACTGGAGACCCTGACTATATACTAAGGAAGAGTTGATGAAAGGATACCATTAAGTATGTTTTGGCAGACTGGCAGCAGAATGGACTGGTTTACATTAGGGAATTCTAAGTACTACAACTAGAAGAAACTTTATAAACCTATGACAGACTAAATACTGTAGATGAGATATCATAAACTTCTTACAACTCCCAACTCAAACAATTATGTAAGTGTATTATTGCAAGTGCTTCTGTAAGTGTATTTTTGGGGGTCTGAAATGGACTAATCTAATCTACATTATCTCTTATGGGAACAAATTCGTTCGGTAACAGCACTCAAACAGCCTTCTGGAATGAATTATGGCCGAAACTCGGGGTACCACTGCATATGTATATAGTAGAATGGGCTACTCACCGGCCATATGACTCCCCACTCATCATCTTGAAGGCTTGTTAGTTAGGCAAGAACTCCGGCCTCCGTAACATAACTTGAAATGAAAATACACATTACTGAACTAGATGAAAAAAGTTGCTGTAAATGCATCACACATTGTAACCTATGCAAAGAAATAAATCTGATTTGACTGGATTGGATTAGGTCTTCAATTAAAAAATTTACCCAAGCCAGATTGAAACTTTTCATCTATGTGTACTGATACAGTAAAGTATAACTTGAAAAATATGGAAAATAAATTGTGAAAAAGAAATTACAGGTACAACATCTATTTTTCAGACCCTTTGGTTCCAAAGCCTTTCCGGATTACCGAGTCTTCCGCCTTTAGAGAGCACAGTATTCCTTGGTCTTGGGGTTGGAAAAGTGACGTACAGTTGGGTGGTAAATACACTGCCATGGGAATTTCAAGTTCATGCTCGTAAATTTCTATAGATTATAAGAGTTTCTGGACCATCAGTGTCTGGAAAATCGATTTTGTACCTGTACTCAAAATAGGGAAGAGACAGAAAAAGATTGATAGAATAGAAATACAATACTGGCAAAAATAAATTTACAAACTACTAAAATAAACACTGAAAATACAAATACTGGGCACCTAATACTACATTGAAATCATAAAATGCTAGAAATCCCAATCAGAGATGAAAAATTTTATATTTTAATTGTAAATACTGTATATACAATTCAATGTTTAATAACATAAGGATAAATGACTACATAATATACCAAAACAAAGTACGTACTGCTAAGAAACTGGCCTTGAAGAAGCAAAAATTACCATAGCACACTGAGGTTCTAACTGTTATACAAATACAATAAGCAAATTAGATTACCTATGATGCTGGCATGGAAAAATAATGGTCACCTAAACATGTCAATGCATTATGAATTTTAATGTGTGTTATTTGAAAACTTCCAAACATGCTGGGGCTTTAATGCCAAATTTATTGCCTTCAAAAGTTCTGATTAATGTACCTTAAATCCACAACAATCTGCATAATCAAAAAAATTATATAATAATAATAAATAATAAATTTTTTTAACGTGGTGGCCATCTCCCACTAAGTCAGGGTAACTTGAAAAAGAAGAAACTTTCACCATCACTCACTGTCTTGCCAGAGGCATGCCCCTCCAAACAGCAAATATTCCCACCACTTCTTCAGAGAGCAAGCACTGTACTTTCCACCTCCTGGACTCAAGTCCAGCTAACAAGTTTCCCCAAATCCCTTCATAAATAATAATAAATAATAATAATTCAGATATTTGTTAGTTTTGTTAGCAAATATTTATACGTATGAGGTGAATCATAGAACTGACAGAGGGAAAGAGGTGGAAAGGGAAATAATAATTTGGATATTTGGAAATTAAGTTGTTGGCAAATAGTTAGTTCTAAGGACGATGTGAATCACAGAACTGACAGAGGGAAAGAGACAAAAATGGAAATACTGTATACCAGAGTATAGTGGTACCCACATTGTTGTATGGATGCCCCATAGCTCAGTTGGCAACTCACTTTCCTTATTCATGATTCAGTCCCTGACATGGGTGGAAATGTTGGGCAACCTTACACCTGTTGTTCCTATTCACCTACCCAAGATGTCAACCCAGAGATGTCAGCAACGTCTGCCCTAGACAACAGCCCAAGACAACGACACGAGCCCGTAAGCCTGAGACGTCAGCCCGAGACGACAGCAATGTCAGCCCGAGATGACGTCAGCCCAAGACGACAGCAACGTCAGCCTGAGACGACAGCAACGTCAGCCTGAGACGACAGCAACGTCAGCCCGAGACGACAGCAACGTCAGCCCGAGACATTGTTCAAAATAACGTCAGCCCGAGACAACATTGTTCAAAATAACGTCAGCCTGAGACAACATTGTTCAAAATAACGTCAGCCTGAGACAATGACACTGTCAGCCCGAGACGACAACAATGCATGCAACCATATGACCTGTCTTTGTAATACTCATTTGTGCTTTATAGTTATGTTTACAATAATGTCTTATCACTGATTTCATCATTGCTTAGTTAATCTTAAGTTAATTTTAAGCCAGCCCGTAATGCTATGCATATAAGTGGCTTTGGCATGCTGCTCTTACCTGTATTTTTTTTGTACCTCTGTATGTATGCTAAAATTTCTAAATAAATAAATAAATAAATAAATAAATGTCGGCCCAAAACGTCTGCCTGAGACAAAAACGTCAGCCCAACACTGCAACATCCGCCAAAGACAATATCTGCCCGGAACAGCAACATCAGCCCGAGACAACAACAATAACGTCAGCCCGAGACAACAACGTCAGTCTGAGACATCAACAACATCAGCCCGGGAGAGCATCATAAGCCTGAGATAACATCAATGTCAGCCTGAGACTACAACAACGAGGCCAGTCCGAGACAGCAACAAAAATGTCAGCCCGAGACATCATCGTCAGCCCGAGACATTATCAACGTCAACCCGAGACAATATCAACGTCAGCTCGAAGCAACAACATCAACGTCAGCCCGGGAGAGCATCATCAGCCTGAGATAACATCAATGTCAGCCTGAGATAACATCAATGTCAGCCCGAAACAGCAACAAAAACGTCAGCCCGAGACGCACAACAATGGAAAAATCAAGGACCCCAGTGGAAATGAGTCAAGACTTTTTTAGGTTATCCTAAATAATTTATACTATGATAATTGTATTTATGTACACATGTGCTTAAACAAACTTACACATACTTAGGACCCAAAACTTTAGATATTTTAATCAATAATATTCTATAAAAAAAAAAAATAACCTGCACCCGTGCTCCCGAAATTAGACCTTAAATAAGATTCAACATGAAGGAACGTCATATTGGTAAATAAAAGCAAGCAAGCAGGAACCTTCAGCCATTTAGGAGAAACAGTGCCATTTGAGCTGATCCTTGGACCTGGCATAGTTCCCCGGGAGGATAAATTAAATAGTGCAGATAATAATGGAGGTGGAGCCAGACAGTGAAGAGGCTCACCATTGTATTATTCCATGATGGAGACAGGTGCGAGGGTCCGCCGGCCGTCACCACCAGCTGATCAATGGCACTGATGCCTCTAAACCCCCCTTTCAGGGTTCACTGCCACTAGTGCCACTACCACCACCATCCCCACCACTGCCATGATTTAAACTATCACCACTATCATCACCGCCATACATTACACTACTACTACTATGGTTTTTTTTTTCTTGGGTTATTTAGACAATTTACACTATGATAATATATATATAATTGTACTTATGTTTAACTGTCTAAATACACTTACTGTGCACACTATAAGCTTTCAAATTGTGTATTTTGCACTACGATTTAAAATAAAAATTATTACAGCTACTACTATTACAATCACCATCAGTTTGTCGGAATTTACATTCATTTTACTCTTCCATTTCTTGTCTTAATTATATTTCGTCCTCCTCTTTCTAATCTTCCTTCTTTTCTTTCTCCTTTTATAGCCTTTCTACATTCTTATTTTTACGTCTTTTCCTCTATTTTCCCTCATGACTTCCTTTCTCCTGTTACACTCCTTCCTGTTTATTTCTCACCCCCTCAACTCAACTCTTTTTTTTTTTACATCATTTCCTTTTTCCTCTTGCATCATAAATAGAATTAAGGGTAACAGAACTGAGCAGATCGCGCACCCTCATCCCTTGCACAGGGCGAATGAGTTAGTCAGTGCTTGGGCTGCTACATCTAGCTATGACAGTCTTCCCAGTACCACACAGGCGAAATTAATGGACAAATATGATGCAAGGGAGAGACTTGTTTGCTTTATGCTCAGCAAGGCAGATGACTGCAACATTCCTTTCACTAATTATGAACTTGATGCAGCACTAACTAAGGGCAACTCCACGTCGCCTGGTGAGGATGGTATTACAACATACTCAGATTGCTGTGTCGAGTACCAGGTAATCCTTTACTTGAATTATATAACATGAGTTATGTCACTGGGGAGCTCCCTAAATCATGGACCAACAGCCTCATTATTCCCATTCCGAAGCCCAATCAACAAAACTCATTTCGCCCAATATCCCTTACTAGCTGCTTGTGTAAAACATTCGAAAGGATGATTCTTAATCGTCTTATGCACAGAATTAAGGAATTCTTGTCACCCCGGTTGCATGGCTTCATGCATGGAAGGAGTGTGCATCATTGCATTACCACCTTTCTCACTCTGTACACTGACAGCTCATACACTACGTTCCTTGACCTTAAATCCGCTTTTGATGTAGCCAACCGACATGTAATCATTAGTGAACTTGCCAGAATGGATGTTGGAGGACGGCTTCTCCGCTGGATTAAAGGTTACCTGTCCAACAGAAAGTCGTCTGTGTTGTTCCAGGGACATAGAAGTGTAACTCAAGATTTTGAATTAGGAACCCCACAGGGAGGTGTGCTTAGTCCCACCCTTTTCAACATTTTGATTAATGCCTAGCCAGCCCCATCATTATATGGTTAGTTTTGCTGATGACAATGATTCACACCACCGGATTCTCCAACACCCAAAACATTCTTAATCATGTACTAGCCTCGTGTCAGGACCTGGGGTTAATAATCTCAGGGGATAAAACAAAGATACTCAACAGGCGTCCTCCTCGGCAGAGAGGCCCAGTTCGTCAGATCCAGTTGCATGATGGGTCTCTTCTAGAATATGTAAGCAGATACAGGTATCTAGGCTTTGAGGTTCCACTACTTGGACCTGTTGTAACGAGACTTTGTCGCCAATACAAAGAAAGGCTGAGAGCACTTAGAGTTGTGGCAGGTTTTCATCCCAGGTATGGAGCTGTTAAAATCGTGAAAATTATGTATCTTGCTTATATTAGAATTAGATCATTGGTTGATTATGCGGCGCCACTACTTGCACTCGTGTCTGACTGGAAGCTTGGAGGGCTGGAAAAACTGCAAAACGAAGCAATGAGGATCATCCTAGGATGCCCTCGTACTGCCAAAATTTTAAATATGCGGAAAGAACTTAATATTCCAAGCATTAGAGATCGTGTTAAATATCCTTATTGGGGTCAATATGCTTAGGCTAGCCCATTCAAACCCCTGCACAGAAGCCCTCCAAACTTTCCTCAGCACTAGTGAACATCCTTCCAGATGGATCGAAAAAACTGGAACCGACCTCCGCATGAACCAGCTACATGATCTATATCAAGTTAGACAACAGAGACATTTCCCTGCTCCATGGGATATTACCCCATTCCAAACTACCATTCCTTTCAAACCTCCATTTTCCCCCCCAAAACTCTTCTAATCACAACCCAAAGCTTCGGCTTGAAGTCAAACATGATGCCTTAAGCTGTAATTGATAACTTAGTCACACAGAACAAACTTTCACACATTATTTACGTCCGATGGTTCCTGTTCACCAGTCCACTGGTGCAAGCTTGTTGTGCCGCTGTTGTCACACAAGAGTGATGGGCTCTCATAAAGAAATTAGGAGCACGTAGCAAAAACTGGGGCCTCTACCCTTCAACAGAACTGTTTGCCATACTTCTTGTCACTCAAAAGTTCCATGGTATCTAGGTTACACTTTATTGTAACTGATTCTCTGTCCATCCATAAATGCTCTCAACTCACAATTAAGTATAAATTGCATGTTTGTGTCCATAAGCCAGAAGTACATGATATGGTAAGGATTGTGTGACAGTGGAGTCATATTGCACATGCTTGTGGATTCCATCTCACATAGGTCCTTCAGATGCATGATAGAACAGATAAATAGGCTAAGCTGTATGCTTCAAAGAGGAGTACATTACAATCTGGCTTGTCAGGTAGTTAGTTGTGTAGAACAATAATAACGGAAAAAGAACTTTCAGCTGAAATTTATGAGACTTAAGGCTCAGGGAGAATGACACCAGTTGAGTCCCATCTATCAACATCTCATAATGCAGGAGGAGACCACATCTATGGTTCATCCAACAAAATAAGCAGACTCTTGGATGTCACTACCGGCCCGGCTCCGGCGGGTTAACAAGTATCTGTGGTACAGTTAAATCACACCACCAGATGTAGACCAAACGAAATGTAAACTTTGCCAAGATGGACTAGTTGTCACACATTGCGTCAATATGTACTGGAGTGTGATAAAATTTAATTATTTAGTAAACAACTCACCCGCGAGAAGTGTTCAAGAAGTGGCTAAGTATTTTATCCACAGTGGTATATTATTGCAGACCATTTCTGGAGAAATACCCTGACTTTGCTATCTGTACAATAAAGCATAACCACATGTGTGCATGTGTGTGTGTGTGGTGTGTGTGTGTGGAGGGTGTGTGTGTGTGTTGTGTGTGTGTGTGGTGTGTTGTGTGGTGTGTGTGTGTGTGTGTGTGTGTGTGTGTGAGTGTGGGTGTGCGCGCGTGTGTGTGGGTGTTGTGGTGAGGGTGTGTGTGCGGGTGTGTGTAGGGTGTGTGTGAGTTGGAGTGTGCGGTGAGTGTGTGTGTGTGCGTGTGTGGGGTGTGGAGTGTGCGTTGTGGTGTGTGTTGCTTTGTGGGTGTGTGTGTGTGAGTGTGGTTGTGTGGCGTGGGAGTGTGAGGAGTGTGTGTGGGGTTGTGGTGTGAGGGTGTGTGTGTGTGGGTGTTGGTGTTGGGTGTGTGTGTGTGGGTGTGCGTCCTTGGTTGTATGCATATATGTGTACGCTCGTGTAGCACATGTCCGTGCGTGCGCCCTCGTTGGTGTATGTCGCGCGCGCACTAGTGTGGGTGTATGATCCACTAATATTTGTATTTATAACACATTACAATTGTGACCAAGGTGTGTGGACAATCAGTGGTTCATTACTTTTGTATTTGTTCATGGACTGTAACCATGTATAGGAGAGAAGCTGATTCATTACCTCTGTAATCTTTGCCAATGATTAGTGACCAGATCTACCTGGAGTTCATTAACCTTTTGTAACTATTTTCAGTCTATCCATAACTTTGGGGTCCAGTCCACTGACCCATTATGATTACTCTTTGTAATCTTTTGACTCCGCCCACAGGGATGGGAATGGGGTGCATAAAGATAATAAACTAAAGTGTGTGTTGTGTTGGTGTGTGTGTGTGTGTGTGTGTGTTGTGTGTGTACTCACCTCTTTGTGGTTGCAGGGGTCGAGTTCACAGCTCTTTGCATGGCCCCAGCTCTGCTCGCTGATTGCTACTAGTCCTCTCTCGTCCCTGCCCCATTGAGCTCTATCATGACTCGCCTTAAACTATGTATGGTTCCTGCCTCCACCACATCACTTTCTAGGCTATTCCATGGCTGACCTACTCTATTGACTGAAGATAATACTTCCTAACATCCCTTTGATTCACTGAGTCCTTACAACTTCCAATTGTGACCACTTGTGGTCTGTGTCCCCATCCTCTGGAACAATCCCGTCTTGTCCACGCTACCGTCAAATCCGCGCAGTAATTTATATGTCGATTATCATGTCTCCCCTGACCCTCCTGTGGCCTCCGAGTTGTCGTCAGGCCGATTACCCTCAACCTTGTCTTCATAGGACAATCCCCGTAGCTCTGGACTATCTTGTTGCAAACCTTTTTGCACTTTCTCTAATTTCTTGACAGTGCTTGACTAGGAGTGGATTCCAACTGTGCTGCAGTACTCCAGTATTGGCCTGACTGTAGATGGTGTTGTGTGTGTGGTGTGTGGGTGTGTTGTGTGTGTGTGTGTGTGTAGTGTGTTGTGTGGTGTGTGGTGTGTGTGACTCAAGAAATCAATCAATATTTGGCAAACCAATAACTCATTACAGTTGTGACCCCGGTGAGAAGTGTGAATTGCGCATTAACTCCTATAATTTGTTCAAGATAGAAGCCAAGTATAAACGTAAAGTAACCATTTCACAGAATTCATTACCTTTGTAACTTCTGAGCTCATTACCCTTTTGAGTACCTAGTTCCTGTCTATCTAGCTCTCTCTCGCGAGAATTCGGCGCGAGGCCCAGTCCCCCTGGACCATTGACGTACCCTCTGTAAATCTGTAAATACCTTTGTAACTCGTCATGACATTGTACCACACTGTACCTGGAGTTCATTACACCTTTGTAAATTGGTGCTGAAGCATTACCTTGAAAAAGTGTGAGTTCATTACCTTTGTAAATTGTGAGTTCATTACCTCTGT